TCCCGCCCATGAGGCCGAGAACGGGGCAGCGCAGTCTGCGCTGTCCTGAACTCGACCATAGCTCCAGCCCGTCTGAAGTCTGAATGTTAAACGCCATTCCGCCAACAAATCCATGCCGCTGCAGTGCTTCCAGCGCTCGAGGCATAAAGAATTCCTCTGCGACCTTGACGCCCGGCGCATGGCGCGCCGAATCGCGCGCCTTGCCCCCCCGTCGAAAAAAAAAATCGAAATTACGTAGCACCCCGCAGATGCGGATAAGAGTGATGGGGCGGCGGGGGCGGCGGCAGTCTGCGAGGCTCTGGAGAAGCCCGCCGCAGGGGCCAAAGTTCCACCGAAATGTGCAACGAACCCGCCGCAGGCGCCGATTTTTCTTCAAACCAATGTGGATCGATCGCGGGCGTCGCGGGCGGGTCGCGGATGGGTCGCGGTGGGCCGCGGGCGGGTCGCAAGTGGGTCGCAACTGGGACGCGGGTGGGTCGCGGATGGGTCGCGGGGTGGGTCGCGGGCGGGTCGCGGGGTGGGTCGCGGGTGGGTCGCGGGTGGGTCGCGAGTGCGTCGCGGGGTGGGTCGCGGGTGGGTCGCGGGTTGGGTCGCGGGTGGGTCGCGGGCGGGTCGCGGGCCGGGTCGCGCGGCGGATCGCGGGGTGGGTCGCGGGTGGGTCGCGGGGAGGGACGACGACAAACAACAACAACATCAACAACAAAAGCAACAACAACGCAAGGAAAAATCCCCATCCCCCCCCCCGCCCCGCCCCGCATGGATTCTCAATTCAGACACGCACCCAAGAACAATGAATGGCCGCTCGGCCCCCTCACTCTCATCTTCGACATCCCAAGTCGCCAAAATCACCATTCCGTTCAGCTCGTCCGAAAGGCGCTCGCCCCGCTCCTGGAACGCGCGGCTGGCTGCGCAGCTCCCGCCACTTTGACCCGACCGTGTAGATGCGGTCCTGCTGCGTCGCCATCGCCTACTTGAGCTTCTCGCGGGTGATCCGCGCTGCCCCGTTTCCAAGCATTTGGCGCTCAGCCGCCTCCCGCTGCCTCCACTTCAGCATTCGGCATGGCTCCTGAGGGCGATGGTCAATCGCGCCTCGCCGCCGGACCATCAGCCGCCCGCTTGGTCGCGCTCCATCGCGTCCTCTTCCTTGTCGCGGCCGCGCTGCCTCTCTGGCGCCGGCGCCGTCTCCGCGACGCGTTGGCGCTCGCTCGCGCCTGCCGCCCATGGCGTCGCACTGGGCGGTCGTGGAACGCTCGTGGTCGGCCTCGAGTCGAGCGCTCCGAACGCTCCCTCCGCGCTCACCACCCGGCCTCTTCAGCGCGCGAACCTGCTCCTTGGCCAAGGGCATCTCGGCCACGGGCCCCTTCCTCAAGCGGTCTCCGCGCAAGGCGGGCGCATGGCATGGCAACAGCTGCGCCGCCCATGCCCTCCACTGCATGCAGAAGATGACGACGTTCGATCACGAAACGCAGGAACTGGCCGCTCGTCCGATTCGCGGGGCGGCCGCGGATCCACTGCCAACGCTTGCAAATCTCGGGGGGCGCCCTCCACCCCGTGCACTTGCGCGCGCCGGTCAGGCACCCGCGGCAATGCTCGCCGTATCTCTGAATGTCTGGGTCCGTCGCGCAGCGCCGCTGAGCACTTATCTCATTCCAGTTGGATCCCTTGTATTGGCGCCCGACTGCCTGCCATTCTGGAAAGACCACTGGACTCGATGAGCCGCACGTCGGCTTGGTCTCCAGACTCGCTGCGCCAAGCGCCCCTGCTGCCGACGCCACTGCCCGCGACCGCATCTGCTGCCGCGGCCACCCCGGGTCCGCGTAGACCCCCCTCTCGCCGCCCTCCTCGCCGCCCCCCCCCGCCCGACGCGGGCCCCAGGGCGGGGCGCGCAGAACTGCCCCGCAAGCGGCCGCGCGGGCGCCGAGAGCACCGCCGCCGAGGCGACGCGCGCCCGCGCCCGCCGCCCCGGGGTCTGCGCTCGGCCCAGGGATGTCTGCACTTCGCGTAGATATGGAAGCGCTGGAAAACTGGTTGTCCTGGCGAGCGACGGGGTCGCCTCGACTCGAACCGCTGCCGACGATGCTGAAGTCCGCCGTTCTGAACCATCGACCCACCGGAGGCGCAGCCCGACCATCGGGGCGGAAGTCTACAACTGATTCTGCCGCGCGACACTCGTCCACCTTTCCCGTGGGAGTCTCTGACTTCGCACAGATCGCGCCAACTTCACATGAACCAGTCCAGATCTACGGGAGCTCGATCCGAAGATTCTTGGCTGGGAGCAACATTGGAACGCACCCATTCCACCGCAGTGAGCTTCAAGAGGCCATGCGATTCACTTGGGCCGAATGGGACAAGCATGGCCCCCACCGCCCACGCTCGCCAAATGACCCACAGGGCCCAGGCTGGCCTGTTTGAACCGCTGCGCCCGCAATCCCCTTGCACGAAGGGCACCCTCCAGCCGTCGCGGCGCCGTCGCATCGGGCCCGACTGGCCCACCGAGGCCCCCCCCCACCCCCCGGGGCAAGCCCACGCCAAGATTGAGACATCTCGCTGCTGCCGCTCGCTCGTGCACCCCCTCGCTCGCATTCGTGTTCTGGTCAACCTGGACGCGGCGGCTGCTGCGCCGCGTGCATCGGGCGAGTTTGTGGACTCCTTGGCCCAGTGGCTCATCTGGGCACAACGAGCGCACTTGGTCCGCGGCTTGATCAAGTCGACGCGTGTCCTCGATGTGCGCCCATGACCGTCCTTGCAACGCTTGCTGGCTCCACAGCGAGCCACTAGGGAGGTGGTGGGAAACCGTCCTTGCCTGCTCCATCGTCCTTGCCGCCCTTGCTTCCGCCCTTGTGGGATCCACGCCTGCTCATATCCGATTTCAGCGACTGCCTTGCCGCTGGGTACGACTCCTAAGCTGTGAGTACACCAGCCCCATCGTGCACCTCCAACAGGTCGCCCTGCATGATATAAGCGAGAATGGGGTCGTCATCGTCCTACTCGGAATCCACGGCCGGGGAACTCACTGATTCGTCGTTGCCGAAAAACTGTCGGTCGATCCTGTCCACCATGATTTTGTCGACCTTGCGCCGCAGGGCCTAAATCAGCTCGGACTCGGCGAAGCTGCCCGCCGCCCACGTTTTGATCATGGTTTCGCCCTTCTCGTGTCGCACCATGATGCAGCTCCGCGCCTCCGCGTGCAGCTGAACTCCCTCGTGCTTCCGCTCATTGAACCAGGTCGCTGCTACAACTTTGTAACCCAGCATTCTCGAAAGCTCAGGGCATCGTCTGTTCGAGGTGCGGCGCGAAAGCCTCATCGAGAATACGTAGTATGTGTTGCAAACGTTTTTGTTCGATGATGTCCTCTCGCCCCATGCCTGAGATCGCCTCCGTGGCCGTGCCTGACAACTTCCGCGGTACTTTCGTTATCATCTCATTTTTTTGAATGTCGGTCTTACTGCACCACAACGTGAGTTCCTTCTTCCAACGACGGTATGTGCATTCTGGGCTACGGCCATCCAAACCTGGTGGAATATCACGATCTCGGCAGCCGCTACCGCTTGGCTCTTCACCCTCTACGTCCCTCTTCACCCGGCACGTGGTTGGACGGCATTTACTTGGTCCGTGGACTCGTGATTCGCTCCGCTACCTCTCACAGCGATGACGATGGTGATGACTCGTACGCACTCGCACGAAAGAACGTGGGATGTCGAAGAAGAATATAATCATGGGTTGACCACTGGTGTTCTGCAGGGATCTGGAAGGAAACGGGGTCAGTCAACACGGGCTCAAAGGCTATGGATGAGAGGGCACGGGGCATATGGAAGGTTGAAAAAGAAGGCAGGGCGCACAAATATCGCCAGAAATCTACTGTGTACGTGTACGTCACACTTTCGCCCATGAAGAGAAGGAAAGGGAAATATATATATATATAGAGAGAGAGAGAGAGAGAAAGAGAGAGGGGTAGGCGGGATCAACGTCCGACACCACAACGCCTCCGCACGCCCTGTGTGTGGGCCCAGGGCACAGGCCTTGGCGGGTATCCGCTCCCGGCCTGGACAACAAAAAACGTCCAACAGGATCTGGGTCAACAACACTGACGGGGCCCAAGGACAAACACGCACACAAATAACTAGGTACACGCACCCCCAGGATTCCCGATGTGTTACAATATTTCTCGCATGTCCATCTTCCCCTACCCCACTTCCCATAATTCCTGCGCGTCGACGATCATTTGTGTCAGTGTCTATCTGTCCTCTTGCAATAAGCCTGTGGCGCCTTCTCCACCCTGACTGGGAGCTCCCCGACATCCCTTCCCATCTCCGCAGCTCGTCGCAACGGAAAGAAGTGGTCCGACAGGAAGGGAGGGGGGAGAGGAGTCAGGGACAGCGGTTGAGGCGGGCAGGGGGGGAAGGGGAAACGGAAAAAAGGAAGGAGGAACGGGAGCAACGGGAAGAGAAGCTCGTACCAACGCGTGGCAATAACACGCCACCGAAACCGTGGCCGTGCGACCAACAACCAGCAAGAGCTGTTCCGAGATCGCCCGTGCCCGCTTCCACCCAAAACAGAGATAGACACTACAAAACACTGGTCCTCGAGGGTCCTGGACACGGGCCCTTCCGTGGAACTGGCTCCTCTGGCTCGCTCTGCGACGACCCCGAGGCCCTGGCAGAGCCCCGGGCGCCCGAGGACGACGGAACACCTCCAGGACCCCCCCCCTCCTCTTGGATCTGGCGACCACGACCTGGGTAGGGGGAAAGGAGGAGGAGGAGGAGGAGGAGGAGGAGGAGGACGACGACGAGGAGGAGCAGGAGGAGGAGGAGCAGAAGGAGGAGGAGGAGGCGGAGGAGGAGGAGGAGGAGGATGAGCAGAAAGAGGAGGAGGAGGAGGATGAGGAGAAGAATAAGGAGGAGGAGGAGGAGGAGAGGGAGAGGGCTGCAGAGAGGTGTGCTGCCGTGCCGGCCCGGGCGCGCCGCGGGGCGCGGGCGACTCGCCGCCGGTGCCCCGCGATCCTGCGGGGCGCCCACGGGCGCTGCTGGCGCAGCGGGGCCGCAGGCGCCTCATCGGGACGCAGACTTGGGCCCGCGGGAGGAGGTGGGCAAGGAAGAGGACGAAGGACGGTGGAGAGGGGGGAGAGGAGGGAGAGCGCTCGCGCCTCACTTGACATCCTGTCCCTCCCTCCCATCCCTTCCCGCTGCGCCGACTGCTTCTCTCCCTCCGCGGACGCGTGTCATGGCCGACACGTTCAAGGTCTTCGACCTCGTACTATTCCTGCACGCCGGCACACGCGCGCAAGGTTTGAATGGCCTGAGCGTGGCCTCCCCCGCCCCCCGGGCCGCCCTCTGGCCAACCATTCCCCTGCGCTCCTCCGCCCTGTGCGCAGTTCGTCTGCCTACACCCCAGGTGCATTACCGAAAGCTGCTTGGGCTTCTCGCGGCCGCGGGCTAACAGAAATAGCCGCCCTGCAACTCCAACAACTTGACCAAATCGTGTCATGCAACATCGGAAGAGGGGAGCTGCGTGCACAGGAAGAGAAGGTGGCGGGCGAGCAGGCTGATGGGCGGGAGGACAACGACGAGGACGACCGGAAGGAGCAGGAATCGCAGTGGAAGGAGCGGGAGGAGCAGGAGGGTCAGGGGAAGATGCGGAGGAGGGGAGTTGAGGGAGGGGCAACGATGAAAGAGAGACTCCGATCCAGAAAATGGCCCGCGCTGGGGCGAGAGCGCCATTCTGAACGACGCGAACAACGCGCCGATCCGAAAAGGAGGCCCACGCTGAAGCGGCAGCACCATCTTGAAGTACCGAACGCAATGGGATTACAAAAGCAACATAAGAAGCATCACGCTTTGAAATCCGACAACAGATAGCCCGCGGGAAAGGCCCGCCATCTTCTGGGTGGAATCGGGGGAGAGAGGATAGTAGTCTTCATGTTGTTGCATTGTGACGGTGAAGGGAGAGGAGGGAGAGGGGAGTGGTTTGATTTGGACGCGGGTCAGCGTCAAGTCTCAGCACTCGGGTGTTTGGCCCTGCCCTCGCTCCTGCCCCCGGAGCTGTCAGCAGAAGAAGCGAAGCGCTCTGCGCGGGCCGCAGCACGTTTGGCAGGAGCGTGCTCGTGCCCATCCTCCTCAGGCGGAGGGGCTTTGCAAGCCCCTCCCGTGCCCGCTGTATTGCCCTGCTGCATTGCCTTGCTCGCGCAAGGGGTACAGTCGGGAGGAGCAGCAGGAACACAATGGTGCTCCGCAGAAGCGGCCTCCGAAACGGACAGCACGCATGCATGCGCGACACCCGGGCTGAACCTAAACGGTGTTGTTCGCTCTCGTTGTGTTGTCGTTTTCCCTCGTTTTGTCTCCAATCCGCCTTTACCGAAAGACGAAGCCGAAACGAAAACGGCCCACGGAATCGCCAAAACGCCGTTTAGGTCCGACCCTGCGCGGCACGCCTGCGGCTGCTCCAGCCGTGAAGGGAGCGCCGAGAGCTGTGAAGGGGGGGGGAAGGGAGAGCGACGGGGCGAGGGGCGAAGAAAACAGAGAGTGGCAGGATCGTCGTTTTTTTCGCCTCGTGCCCGCGGCATTCGCGCAAGGCACGTGCCCCGAAACCATCGCGCGCACCCTCGCAAATTGCACGAGGTCGCGCCAAGGGACTCCTTGAAGCGAGGGAGAACCTGCGGTGCCCTTTCAATTCCACCACCGCGCTTGTGGCTGTACGCGTACCTCGGCCCCCCTGTTGTTCTTGTGAGCGGCCGTCGCCTCTTGCGAAGCAACGATCGGCCCCCCAGTAGGTTTACCAATTTGGGATATGTCCAACCACAATTTGTTCAATACACATCACCAGGGATGGAAAGCCCGACAGCTACTCCGCCCACAAGTGGCTGGACCCACGACAGCCCAATACCTGTCCCAAACGTGCCTTAGAAGGGCCGAATTGGCCTCACGGCTTCCTCGCCTTCCTCCCCCGACGGCTACAATACGAATGCCTCCCCTGACGGCATCACGGCCTTCCAGGAGGACCCCGCGACCCCGGACGGCACCCAAGCGAGACCCAAGGCGCCCCCAACAGGCCCTAAAGAACACAAGCGGTCGCGGCCGCAAGAGACCCTCACAAGAAGCCCGACCCTGAAAATCCGCACGCGAGGTGCGATTGGGGAAAACCCAAGGCACCCTGAATGAAGCAGCTTGTTGAACGCCCGCGGGACGTCATCGCGCAGCATGATCAGCAAAAACAAGCCCAGGGCGCCCTGACGGAACACATGCGGCCTTTTGATGCGCGTCCCCCCTGTGCCCTTGGTTGTTCGATCTTTCTGGGCTGGCCACCCCAGACAACTTTCACATGAATGACTTCAGGTCAGCCTCAGGACGGCCTCCCGCCTACCGTGGTCGGCGCCCCAGCGGTCCGGTTCAGACGGCCAACTCCTTCTCCTCCACCTCTTCCTCCTCCTCCTCCGCATTCTGCTGTTGCTCCTCCTCCTCCTCCTCCTCCCCCTCCTTAGACAACATGAAAATCATCGCTTCGTCTCGCGAGGCATGATGATCATCGCATGCACGCGCCCACTCCCTCACCCCTCCCCAGAGAACGAAAGAGGTGATAATCGGGATGCCACTCTGCCGCTTCGCTGACGAAATGACACTTATCGTGGGCGGGTGGCGTAGCGCACATGCGAGCGAGCGAGGACACATGGTGGTGACGGCGCGTCTTTATCGACGCAGCGTTCAGGCTGCGTGGCAACAAAACATCAAGGCTGAGACCAGGCTGGACAAGCAAGCAAGGGCGGAGGCAAGCAGGCCGGACGCCGCCCCAACCCGACGCCTGCGGCCGCCTCGCCAGGGGGCGGCCCTGGGCGGAGCTGCGGCCAGGCGGCGCGGCCGCGCGCTTCTGTGAAGCCGACCGCCCCTGTCGGCCTCGTCTCCGCGGCCTCGGGGGAGGAGACTGAGAGGAGCGGGTGGAAGGTGTCCTGCTTTTGCTTCCGTTTCCCTCCCCGGGGGGAGGGCAGGAATCAGAGCGTGATTGACCTACCCCGCTTTCGCTTCCGGGCAAAACCAAGCCATACCACGCGCCTCCTCGTCAAGCGGCCTGACCAGTACAGGCTGCAATTTGGCATCGTTTGGTATCTCTTGGAACCGAGGGTGGTCAAAAGCGAGGTAGGTTTGTTTTCCCCCTAAGGAAGGAAGAGCAGGAGGAGGACGGGGGGGAGGAGTGCGGAGGGAGGAAGGAGACGAGGGTCCCACTGCCGTCCTCGTCCGAGGGCGGCGCCCAGCGGCCGGGGCGCGCTTGCCGCCTCGCGGCGGAGGGGCTACGAGGAGGGGCGCGGGGAAGAGGAATGGGGGAGGGGGGGATGGAGGAGGAGGAGGAGGAGGAGGAGGAGGAGGAGGAGGAGGAGGAGGAGGAGGAGGAGGAGGAGGAGGAGGAGGGGGGAGGAGGGAAAAGGGAGAGGACGGGTAAGGGGCAGGACGGGCAAAAAGGGGAAGAGCATAAAAGAAACTCAGCGATAGAGACCTGACTGGACAAGAGCGGGCAGCGCCGACTTTGTCCATTGGGCCCGCAGGGGGAGGGGGGGGGGAAAAGGGAAGTGGCGACGACAGGGCGGCGGATGACGAGGATGACAGCGTGGATGACGGGGAGGGCAGCGAGGGGAGCAGGAGGACAACGATTAGGAAAAACAAGCGCGAGGACGAGGAGGAAGAGATGGAGGAAGCCGAGTACGAGGACGAACGAAGAGGAGGAGGAGGAGGAGGAGGAGGAGGAGGAGGAGGAGGAGGAGGAGGAGGAGGAGGAGGAGGAGGAGGAGGAACGACGACGAAGGAGGACGGTAAGGAGCCTGAGGAAAAGGACGTCGAGGAAGGGGGATCGTTTGAAGCTGGGGGCATCCTGGGGATCCCTTGGGGGCCCGTCGGGGTCCTCGTGGGAACTGCTGGCGTCCTCTTAGAGCAATCTGGGCGTGCCTTCGGGGTCCGGCGGGGCTCTCTCAGGCCGTCTTGGCGCCATCTCGGGCTGTCATTGGGCCGTTTGGGGACGTCCTGGAGCTGTCTTAGGGGCCCTCTTGGGCAGTCGCAGGGCCTCTTCGGGCGCTCCCGGGTGCCTCTGGGTGCCTCTGGGCGCCCCTGGGGCCCCCATGGGGGGGCCTTCGGAGCTCTGTTGTGGTCGTGTTGAAGCTCTCTGGGAGCGATTCCAAGATAATTGACTACCTACCAGACCACCCCAACCCAACCCGAAGACCCGAATTTCGGGTTGGGGGGGGTCAGGGTTTCACACGTGCTTTTTCGACGTTTCCCGACCCCCCCCCACTGGAAATCGAGGGTAAATCTGAGCCTTCGGGTTGGGTTGGGGTGGTTTGGTGGGTGGTGAATAATGTCGGCAGAGTAGGCGTGCAGACGTGGTGCATGGATGTCGTGTTGCTTGTGTTCTTGTTGTGGCCTGTTAGATTCACTTGCAGTTCATGCAGCGGCGGAGCACGTCGCGCGCCCGCACGGGCAACGCCGGCATCGCGACGCAAACATTGCACGCTGGCGAACACCCAATCATCTGCTCGAGCAGAACACCTAACGACAAGTGCGGCGTTTCGGGGCCTGCCAAGGAACATTTTCGAAAGCAACGTTTACGGAGGCCACACGTGCAACAATGCTCGTCGGGCCCCGTCCCAGGGCCTTCGGGTACCTCCCGGGACCTTGCTCGGAGGCACTTGGAACCTCATTCGGCGTAGGAGTGGAAGCGTGGTTTGTAGGAGGAGGAGGAGGAGGAGGAGGAGGAGGAGGAGGAGGAGGAGGAGGGGGAGGGGGAGGAGGAGGAGGAGGAGGAGGAGGAGGAGGAGGAGTAGGAGGAGGAGGAGAGGAGGAGGAGGAGGGAGGAACCTTGGGCACCGTGCCTTGAACTCTGTGCATCGCCTACCACTGGGGACTTCTCGGGGCCCTCTGCTTGGGCTCCCTCGCGGGGCCCCCGCGAGCGAGGGGGTGGAAAGAATGGCTCCGCACAGGAGAGGCCACGTCTTGAAGCGTGCGCATCTGGCCTCTCCTGGGGTCCTCTGTGGGCTGCCTCGAGACCGTTCTGGGGCCGACGGGAGCTTCCTGTCGGGGAGACGTAAGACCCGGGTACGGGGGACTCGGAAATCCCCGACGAGGTCGTCAAAAAAATGACGAGGCCGAGCCTGCATTTTGACGAGGTCTCCCGCTGCAGACATTTCACAAAACTCCTCCTCGTCAAAATCCGAATCGCGGTCGTCAAAAAACGATGGCAAACCCGAGTCCCGGCAAACCCGGGTCTTACGCTCCCCCGATCCTGGGGGGTACAAGGAAAGTGCAGCTCGCGACCTGGGAACCACACCTTGGACGATACGCATCAAGCGCCTCGTGGGCGTCTGCTGGGTTTTTTGAATGGCCCTCTCGGGGGGGTCTTATTGGGCCCGGTGGGGGCTTTGGAAGGGGCCCGACGGGGCTCGAAGGGGGGCCCAAGAGGGCCTCGGAGGGCCTCAAGGGGGCTCCAGAAAAGGCCAGCAACCTGTCGCGAAGAAGGCCCTCTTTCGTGACGGTTTGGTGGCCCCTCTTGGAGCCCTCTTGGAGCCCCCTTGCAAGCCGCTTGGAGCCCTCTTGGGCCCTCAACAGGGCCCGGCGGTGGCTTCGGTCCGACAGGGCTCCGAGGGGGGGCCCGAGGTGCCCCGAGTGGGGCCCGGAGTGCCTCGAGAGGGGCCCGGGAACGGTCGGCAACCTGTGACGAAGAAGGCCTTGTTCGTGACGGGCTGTTGGGTTCTCTTTGGGGATCCTCTTACGGCCGTGGGATCATCGTGCTTATCCTTTGTGTCTTTTTTGGGTGCGCTCTTGGAGCCTCTGCGAGCACCCTTGAGGCAGTTTGTTAGGGGGAAACAAACCTACCTCGCTTTTGACCACCCTCGCTTCCAAGAGATACCAAACGATGCCAAATTGCAGCCTGTACTGGTCAGGCCGCTTGACGAGGAGGCGCGTGGTATGGCTTGGTTTTGCCTGGAAGCGAAAGCGGGGGAGGTAATTCACGCTCTGAGTTTGGGAACCCTCGTGGGCAGAGGAAGATGCCCCTGGCTGCGCCCGAGCTGCGGGGCCCCATAAGCCCGGGAGAAAAGGGCGGCGGTGAGCCTACAGGATGCCCCCTACGGAGGGGCGGGGAGGGTCCCAGGAGGGGGGCGTTGTGGGCGCCAGCGGCTGAGAGAAAGCTGCCCACAATGGCGCTGTTTGTCGGGGACCAGCTGCGTGAATCTCCTGTCGGCTCTGGGGCCTCCGGGGTCCATAGCAGCGGCCCCATGAAGGCCCCACAGTGTCCCCCAGAAGCCCCCTCCTATGGTTCCCAGAAGAGCTGTTTGAACGCAAGCTGGTAGCGCGCGGGTGTGGTTCAGACTCCATGCGTCATTCCTTTCTCCCTCCTCCCCATCCCCGCGTTCCTCGTGGAAGCCAGCCTGTAGGAAGATCATTTTCAAGACCCAAGCGCGCAGACCTGCACAGCGCACGGGTCCCCTGTTATGCGAGCGCGCGCGGCCAAAAGCCACCAAAGAAGACGCCCGACCCCCCAGATTGGATTCTCGTCTGAATTCCGCCCGGATTCCGCATGGGTTTACCCCCGTTGCCCCCCCCTGAACCCAGATACTTCCCAGCGTAGAACAATGCATACATAATCTCGCGGAAATCCATGCAAGGTTTTTCTTTCCTGGCCCAGCGTTGTTCGCCCACGTGTGCTGGTCGTTCCTCCCTCCCGCTTGGAGCCTTCTCGCCCCAGCATCCTCCTCCCACACCCCCCAACTCCTCCCAACTGCTCCCCCCCCTCCGTCCTCCACCCCCCCGGCTCCCGGAGCAGCCCCTCCCACTGGCATTCCCCCTGCCTCTCCCCGCCCTCCTCGGCCCCATCCCTCCCCCTCCTCCCCCCCCCCTCTCCGCGCCCCCCCCCGCCCCCCAGGAAGAGGAGAAGGAGGAGGAGGAGGAGGAGGAGGAGGAGGAGGAGGAGGAGTAGAAGGAGGAGGTGGAGGAGCATCCCCCCCTCGAACGCCCTGCGCAAGAGCTGCATCGGATCGGCGCCCGGTGGCCCCTCCTCCACGCCCTACCACGCCCCCGCCGCAGATCGCCAGGCAGCGCATCCGTCACTCAAAGAGCGCACGAGTTTGGCCGATGCGAACTCCGCCGCCACTCCTCCGTCCCCCTGCTTTGCCTGGCCCCAGCCCGCCGAAAACCATGTTTGAGAAAAGGCGAGCGTGTCCTGCTTCGGAACACAAGCAAAAACTGTTGTACGAATACGAACCGCCGCCAGTCCTCCGTTCCGTGTCGCTCCGCCTCCCCCTCCTCCTCCTCCTCCTGCGCCCCCCCCCTTGACGTTTGCCTTGCCACCCTGTTCTGCGAAGAAGATGCGTTGGCTTCCACCACATCGACGGGGATACCAGAGCCACTCCTGAGCCCAAGCTGGTCCTCATTTCAGCGTCTTGACTGTGTTTGCCGCCGGAGACCTGGGTCACAGAGAAGGGTCGGGCCGGGCGACAGGGGGGGATAGGATAGCAAAGAGGGGGGGTGAGAATCGGCCCGCGTAGCTGATCTTCCCGGCGCCTCCCGGCGCCGGGAGGCGCCCATGATGTCGAGGAATGGGCCCCTCGGTGGGGCTGAAACCAGCTGCACGCGGCAGCTCTCGTGACCCCCCCCTGTCCCCATCCCCCGCGTTTCGCTCGGCCCGAAAGAGGCGGGGGGCGGGGGCCGACCTGGGCCCGTCTGGGCAGCGCGAGCCGCTGGCCGCCCGCGGCGCCGCCGGCCGCGGGGGCGGCGCGCTCCTCGCGCGCAGCAGCTCGCCGCCGCGCGCTGCAGCTCGCCGCCAGGGGGGCCTCCGGGCTCGCCGGGGCCCCGAGGGGGGGGGGCCGAGGGGGGGACCTCCCGCCCCCCGGCGGAAGGGTTCGGAGGACGCCCCGCCTCGGGGTGCCCCCGCCCGCTCCGCTCGAGGGGCGGGCCCTCGGCGGGAGGGCCGCCCTCCCTGCCCGCATCGCGCTCCCCGTCGGCCCCTCTTCTCTCTCCGCGCCTCCGCTCGTGCAGCTGCTCCGGCTCCGGCGCTCGCCCGCCCCCGCAGCTGCTGGGGCGCGCGTGTGCGCCCCCTGTCCCCTCCACTGCCCCTCCGCGGCCAGCACGGCGTGCGTCGCGGCGCGCCGTCGCCGACTTCGTGAACGGGTGCTCGCCGGGGTTCTGGCGCAGAGCTCGGTCTCCTCGGCTGCCGACCCACGCAAGTCCAAGGCCAAGGTCGTGCTCAACCCGAGGGGGCTCCCGCCGTCGAGGGCGCCCACCGGAGGGTGGGGCATCAAGACCACCTCCGAGGCACGCCAGGTCCACGTGTCCCCGCGGGCGGGCACCCGCCGCGAGTGGTCGTGCGGTGCCCCGCCGCTGCTGACGCTCGCAGCTGCCCGGCCCCCGCCCGAACGACACCGTCTGGGACGCACCCGAGCGGAGCCGTCAGCGTGGCTCTGGGCGCACACGTCCCTCGCGGCGGCCCGCTGATGGCGCAGTGGACCAAGGCTATACTTGACCCCCGATGCAGAGGTGCGAGGTTCCCATCAGGGTGTCTGCAGACCGTCTGCAGACCTCGCGGTGGCGATACAACCTCCATCATTCGGGCCATACCACCACGATACAACAATGCCACCGCGCAGGGGAACCCTGCTAGGCGCCAGCCAGGGAGGGTCCTCCTCTGGTGGTGCCCGTCGGTCCCCCCTCTCGCCCGAGACTCCCCCATATCCCCATCTCGGGGGCGCATCGTGGACCCCCCCCGCTGCAGGTGGCCCCCTCCGGTGGTGGTGGTGGTGGTGGTGGTGGTGGTGGTGGTGGTGGTGGTGGTGGTGGTGGTGGTGCTGGTGGTGGTGGTGTCGCCTCTCCTTCCTCCGACTTTGGCCTCCTCCTGCTCCTCCTCCTCCTCCTCCTCCTTCTCCTCCTCCTCCTCCTCCTCCTCCTCCTCCTCCTCCTCCTCCTTGCTCCTCCTCCTCCGCACTGGCAGCGAGGGCGGCGGCGGCCAGGCCTCGCCGCGAGCGCCCGCGGCGGCGTCCCGGGCCGGCCACGGGGGCCGCGCCCCACGCCGTCGGTGGCCCCTGGCCGCCGCGCACCGCGCGCCCGGGGCCTCCCGTCCTGCTGGCGTCTTTTTCGTTGCGTCCAGCCCCTCCTCCTCCTCCTCCTCCTCCTCCTCCCCCTCCTCCGCCTCCTCCTCCGCCTCCTCCTCCTCCTCCTTTTCCTCCTCCTCCCCCTCCTCCTCCTCCGTCCTGCGAGCAGGACGGAGGACGCGCACGGCAGTGGCAGCATCGGAGAGCAACAGTGTCTCTTCCGGACGCCCGAGGCGACGTGCCACGGACGCCTCCCAGTTCACGTTGGCATCTGCGTGCGTCAGGGGGGGGGGGGAGAGGAATGAGGGAAATGAGAGGGCAGGACGAAATGGGGGAGGGGAGACGGGGATGGAACGAGAAAGGATGATACAAACAGCAGGGGACACTGATGCTGCTGATGATGATGATGACGAGGAGGAGGAAGGTGAAAGATAAATATGCTAGGAGTTATGATGACCAAATACATCCCTTTTCTATCATTGATGCTGCAACACACCCGCCCGTCGACAACCCCTTCCCGATGAGCACCTACAAGCCTCCTGTGGCTTGGAAGAACGTCCTCGGTAAAGAAGAACGCCCTTTGGGCCAGCCATTCATGCGAGGGCCCCGCGATGAAAAAAACTGTCCCGCATCCTTTTTTGCTAATTATAGAGGACGCGAACTTGCAAAAACATGACCCTGCGACGTACCCGACCCATGTGCATGGAAGTGTCGAGACGACCTGGCCCAAACCTGCCAGGACAGTGACAGCGCAGGCGCTGGTACATGCACACGGGGTGCGTTCACGTGGCGCAAATGCACAGGACAACAGCACTGAGGACGAGAACGCGAGGGCCCAGGCTCGAGGAGGACATGGGGGGGCGGAAACGAGTGGCAGAAAGGAGGACGCTCGGGGGCCGAAGCCGTCCGCGCGGCAGCAGCAGAGGGAAGGTGGCAGGGGGCAGAGGACGACGACGAAAGTGGTGGGAGGAGACCGAAGCGTCCTCCTCCTCCTCCTCCTCCTCCTCCTCCTCCTCCTCCTGTTGCTATTGCTGGCAGTACGCTCAAGATGCAGCGCCGCCTTCGCTACGACGCCGCGGCGCTCGAACAAAAAAATCAACCTGCTAATAGACAGGGCAAGAAGCGAGCGAGGCCTAGCTCGCCCGCCAATTTCCCTGCTCCCTTTCTGCACTTTTCAGTGCGGGAGCTAAACACTCGAAGGCGCGCCGCCAGGTCTGAGGGCGGCCCGCGACTGCGCCCCTCGGGACCCCCAGCAGCCCTCGAAAGTGGAGACAATTTCGCAGATCGCCCCCCCCCGGGATGGCGAGGTCTAATCTGAGTCTGGGTGGTGCCTCACTCCGCTGGACCCACCAGCAGCCCTTGAAAGTGGCGACAGCTTCGCAGATCGCAGCCCCCCGAGGATGTCGAGGTCAACTCTGAATCTGGGTGGTGCCCGACTCCACTGAAACCCCCCAGCAGCCCTCGAAAGTGGCGACAGTTTCGCAGATCGCTACCCCCAGGGATGGCGAGGTCTAATCTGAATCTGGGTGGTGCCTAACTCGCTGGCACCACCCAGCAGCCCTCGAAACTGGCGACAAGTTCGCAGATCGCAGCCCCCAAAAGATGTCGAGGTCAAATCTGAATCCGTGTGGTGCCTCACTCCGCTGCCCCACCAGCAGCCCTCGAAAGTGGCGACAATTTCGCAGATCGCAGCCTCCCAGGGATGGCGAAGTCTAATCTAAGTCTGGGTTGTGCCTCATTCCGCCGGACCCCCCCGCAAGCCTCGAAATGTGTAAACATTTCACAGGTCGCAGCCCCCCAAAGATGGCTAGGTCCAATCTGAGTCCTGGTGGTGCCTCACTCCGCTGAACGTGGCGACAGTTTGCAGATCGCGCCCCCCCCAGTGATGGCGAGGTCTAATCTGAATCTGGGCGGAGCCTAACTCGCTGGCACCACCCAGCAACCCTCGACCTTGGCGACAATTTCGCAGAACGCAGCCCCCCAGGGATGTCGAAGTCTACTCTGAATCCGTGTGGTGCATCACTCCGCTGGACCCACCAGCAGCCCTCGAAAGTGGCGACAGTTTGACAGATCGCAGACCCCCAGGAACGTCGAGGTCAAATCTGAATCTGGTTGGTGCCTCACTCGGCTGGACCCCCCAGAAGCCCTCGAAAGTGGGAATAGTTTCACGGATCGCAGCCCCCCAGGGATGGCGAGGTGACGGAGGACGGAGAAGCGAGGAAGTAAAAGGCAAGAGAACAGAGGAGGGACAAGAAGAGGAGAGGGCGGGAGAGAACGTAGACCGCAATGCTCGACTCGAAAAAAGAACACGACGCAAGATAATTGGGAATAAAACGCAATGGTGTATCCAACGATCGCCTGGTTTTGAAACGGAACCGCCCCCATCCGTGCAAATGTAGCGTAAAAGCTTCGTGGGTTGTCATGAATTGCAAGGACTGATCAACCGATACCACATATTGTATGGGAGCCGATCCCCATCCGCGGACCTACTAACTACACATGCTCAAATTCGGTCTCTGCATTACGAAAGCGTTAATCAATCGCAACGTTTGACATGCGGCCGCCCTCTATCCTTGCAACTGCCGCCATACATTGAAACGGACGTGCTCGGCGCTGAAGCGAGAGCCATCTTCTTGGACATGTTCCACGCTCCATCCTTGAAGCGGATGCAATGTTTTTAAACGACTGCGCGCGGGACTGGGCGAAATCCCCAAAAGTCTTCGAAAAACCCGCCGTCCATCTTGTAGCCGTTGCAACGTTGCAAAATCAAAGTAAGCAGCACCGGAGCGAGAGCCTCTTTTAGAAACAACATTTTGCCGCACAGCGATTGGATATAGCAAACCTCAAGATCAGAAATGGTCACGAAATTTCCAGCGAATCGCCTACAACGCCCTGCGGACACGTCCGACGGCACGACACGGGAGGCGCTCAGTAAGTATAAGGAGCTTGGTTTTAATCGCGATGAACCAAAACAGCGCGACCAAAGTCCCACTTGCACAATGTCGCGTCAGAAACTGCTCCATGCTCCCCCGCCCGAAGAATCTGTTTTCCGTTGCAGCCAGGAGGAGGCGATCCGCACAGGCGCTCGCAATAGTTGGGGACGCTGGCTGACTAAGTGCCCAGGTGCAAAAAAAGGAATCGCGGGAACACAGGGCGGCCGCTGACTACAGCAGGGAAGGGGAGGGCACTCACGGCGGAAAGCGCTTCAGGACAGGCACGCCAGAGCAGCCAACCGGGGTTGAAGCGACTTGGCAGTGGACCTGGCAGTGGGCTCGGGACGCCATCGCGACCACATCCAGGGACCGAGGCGAAGGCTGCAGGCGCCAGAAGCGCGAAGAAAAAAAATGAGCCAACCCACGAGACGGAGGGCCCACAGGACTGCAAGAGCGGGAACATTAGGAAGCCCGTCGTTGCCGGGAACGCCAGGCTTTGCTGCGACGGGCTGGCACAAGCTGGATGCAGGACCATATGGTCGAGACACGAACGCAAGAGTAGGACGAGAAGAATCTATTGACACAGTGTGTGACTGCTGCGTTCCAGGGATTCCAAGATTTCTAACAGCCTTCGCGCGGGGTGCACGTTGCGTCGAATATTGTCTACTCAGCCTGGCGCCGCTGGTCGGTCACTAATGCGAGATCGAGTAATCGCCAGTTGGGGGTTACGTAGCACGTGCTGGTCCCCCTTTTCGTTGCCGAGCGCGGGGGGGGGGGCGGGGGAGGGGGGGGGAGCGCACCGCCCCGTCGCCCGCCGCCGCGCACTCCGCGCCTCGGCGGATTCCCAAAGACGTGGCAAGGCAAATCACGCGCGACTCTTGAACATTCCGAGGGTAGATTTGAAAAAAAATCCAGGAACGCGTATGAAAATGTCTGGCCTCATTTTGCAATCCTGGAATCAAGTTTGAAAAATTCCGAAACCGGTTTTGAAAAATGCTGGAATCCTGCAGAAGTCTTCAGATGTCCTGCGCGGCGGGCGCATTCCACCCCTCAAAACTGTTTCTTGGCAGTGCCCGGAATCCTTGTTGAAAAAATCCGGAACTCATCTTGCACGCGCCAAAAAAAACAACGGCCGCGCCGGAAATAACTCCCTGGCGGTCTGAGGGGCGCAACCGGCGGATTCACGCGCCGCGCCGCGCGCAATTGGGCGCGGCGCGCGCCGCGCCCCGCGCCCGCGAACAGCACTCGAAGGGGTTGCCTCGAAAATCGCGCTGCGGTAGCTGCGACTCGCGGACTCCTCAATAACAAAACAGAATGCAGCGTGGAATCTTCGAGGGCGCCCCGACGCGCGGAAATGCACCGCGGACATCGCGCAAAGAACCCGCGCGACGGAACGCGCTCGACCATTCGCCCCTGGAGCCCGCGTGGAAGGACGGGAAAACCTAGAGCTCTTGAAACTAGCAACATCAATATTTCATGCTCCTCTGAAAGAAATCCGCGCGGCGCTGCGCCGAAGCGCGTTGGCCGCCGCGAAACCCTTTCTGCAACCGCCGCCGCGATGCTGGCGCCCAACCGAGGCGGCGCCAGCACATGGCGCGGGCGACGGCGGGGCCGTGGCGGCGCGGGAGGAATCAAGATCAGGATCGGGGCTCCGAGAGAACCCTCTTGTCTTGGTCACTCGCCAGCATGAAGCCACGCTCGGAGGACACCCCTTGGAAAAAGGCTGAGGCTCGGCTTAAAGGCGCCCCCAGCGCTTGCGCCGAAAACCAGCGCCCTGCGCCGCGGAGACCGCCGCAGGCGCAATTCCCCAGACGGGGCCCGGCAGGTCAAGAGAGGGGAAAGACGACAACGACCGAACGGCGGCGGCGAACGACGACGACGCGAGAGCCCAGGGGCCCGCGGGAAGCGAGAGAAACTCGACATGCTCGAACTCTTTCCTCGCGAGCACCAAAATCTGGTGGCTCTGAAACATGGCTTAGTATTTCGGGTGCCCAGGACGGATGCCACGTTTTTTCTTATTTGAAACATCCACGCACGCGCGGGCTCCCTGCGCGCGCGGAATCGGGGGCGTCGGCTCTTCAGCTTCCGAAAACTGAAACTCAGCTGCGGTCGAGGGCGCGGGTTGGAGCGCGGCCCTGGCCTTCGGAGTCGAGGAAATACGTGGAGGCGCGGCGCCCGGGGCCCTGGCCCAGGGAGTCGAGGGGGCGCGGGTCGCGGCGCTCGAGGCCCCGGTCGGGCGTCTCGGAGCCGCAGAGGTGGAGGCAGTAGCTGGCGCGGCACTCAGAGACTGGGCTCTCGCAGCGTAGGTAGGAAAAGTCGGAATACGTCGCGACCGTGATCGCTGAGCCCGCTCATTGTCGGCGGGGGGAGCATCCACCCCATGCGCTGCACCACCCTCATTAGTCAATGGATCCATGAAAACTTCGGGCCAGTCCTGAAGTTCGCGCCCCGCGTATTTTGCATCGCGCTTGTGTCGCGCTGCCCAGGATAAAAAAGCGAATCGAAGGGTCGAGATGAAACGTGGACATCATCTCTGGCCGTAGCAGCTGCCCATCGTTCAGAATCGGATCAGGTCGTTCTTGGCGCGCATCTCGATCTGCTCTAGCTGGTGGCGCGGTCATGCTGGCATTTTCGCGTCGGCGGCCCCCGCGGCCCCCTTGCGCCCCATGCGTTCAACGAGGGGTCCGCCGAACGCCCGCGGATGAGGCGGGCCTAAGTTGCGCCCCCTGCCCTGGGGCGCCACCGCCTCGGAGCGTTCCGCGCCGCTCTCGCCCATCTTCGCGTCCTCGTGGGCGGCGGGGCCCACGGGGGCGCAGTCGAACGCCGCTCCCTCCGCACTCCACTTTGACTTGCCTAGCTGGAGCAGGGGCTCAAGGGTCAATGCATGTGGCGTCTTCTGCGATCCCTTTCATGCCGAGGTCTGTCTTCCTCTCTCCGCCCTGTCGGGTCGCTCCTCTGCGCCCGGCCCCATCTGCCGCCCCCGCCCGTCGCAGGCCGGGCGGCAGACGCTCCGAAGATAATGCTCTCGGGGAGATCGGGGCGCCGCGGGCCGGCGGCTCGGGCCGCCGGTGCTGGCGCGGCTTCATGAAGGCGGACTGCCGAGGGTTGGGGTTGGGGCAAGTGCTTTATCGCGACGCCGTCATTGCATTCGTCGACGGGTTCGAAAGCTTCGTCAGAATATAATGCGCGCGGGCTCTTTCGGGGCAACCAGGGGCCATGGGGAAAGGCGGCGACCGATGTGGCGCGCAAGACTTCCCCGCGCCGATCGCGCGCGGTGTCGAGCGCCATCTCCCGTCGACACTGGTGAGCGAAACCGCGGGCGCATGGTGCATATCACGCATGTGAGCGACGGGTCGCGAGCGCCGCGTTCACCCCCTCGAGAGTGGAGCGCGCGGGAGGTCAAGGCCCCGCAGGGAGAGAACGCCCGGCTGCGGAGGGCCTCGCTCTCGTCTGCGAGGGCGCCGACGAACGCCGCGAGATCTGAAGGCGAGCCGAGAGAGGGGCGCGTTGGGGCGGAGGGCAAGAAGCGGCGAAGGAGCGGAGAGGGGCGAGGAGCGCCCCGCCTGGCCGGCGCGCGCATCGCAGCCAAGCGGGGCGGGCAGCAGCCCAGCCGCGGGACTTGCCAGGCGGAGTCAAGGGCCCGGCCGCAGGATAGCCAGGCAGAACCAGGGGCTCAGCCGCAGGAGCAGCAGGGCGTTGGGTGGGGGGCCCACCGCCCAGCGCGCATCACTTGGGGCGGCCACGCGCAGGGCAGGACCACTGGGGGGGGCGCTCGCGCGGAGAAAGCCGGCAACGCCACGTGGGCGCCGGGCGAAGGTCCTGGAGCCGGGGTCTCACAGTCTGGCGCCAGGTTGGCGAAAGCCGGTCTCCTAGCGGCCAGATGAGGACAAGGGCCCGTCGCTAGCCGAGGCGACCGACGACTGAACGGGAAACGGAAGGGCCGAGGCAGGGATCTGCGCTACAGACCACCATCCAGGAGGTCGCCGCGCAACTCCAGCACAGCCTGCCAGCAGCCATAATGGAGGGCCTAGCCTGGCGCCCCACGCGCGGCGCCGCGCATCGGCCTACTCGAGGCCGCGCGAGCTCGGGCAGCGCGCCCGGAGCCCAGGCGGCGCGCTCGAAATTACGCAGCGACGCGTCGTCCTGGGCGTCGCCCGCCCCGCTGGCCGCCGACGCACCTGCATCCTGCGCCACCTTGGCGGCGCGGCCCGCCGGGCTGGCGTCGAACTCAAGACGGGCGTCGGCGGGGGCCGGAAGGGCGTCGGAGGGGCCGCCAGATAGAGCGTCTGGGAACGCGCCGGGTTGCGCGACGGGTGGGGCGTCGGACACGAGGTCGGGCAGGGCGTCGGCACAGGGATCGGGTTCGGCGCCAGCCCACGACGCCAACGCTGCCGCAGTTTTCCTCCGCGTCGCCCACGTATTCGCCGCAAGCGTTGTCCGCCTCGTCGACGACCTCGCCAAGGACTGTCGCCGCATTGGCTTCTGCCGACGCGTGTCAGCCCCCATCAAGAGTGCCGTCCACGCCCCTGGCCGGTCCAGCGAGGCCCTCATCGCTGGCCAACGAGGGCGGGCAAATCGAAGCGAAGCGACGCCGTTCAGCCAGACGGCGAGGCGCCTCCATGTCCGCCTCCTTGTTCGCCTCGCCCCAGTCGTTCGTCTTGCTATTCCGCGGGCGCAGCGCCGCCGCGACCTGCTGGCCTGGCTCGCCAACCGCAGGGCGCATCAGCAGCCCGAGGGTCGCCGCGCTGCGGCGGCCGCGGGGGCCGTCGGCGCGCGTCGCCAGCGCGACCGCGCCAGGCCGCCAGCGCACCGCAATCGTGCCGAGGGGCCAGGGCGCGCGCCAGCGGGGGCATTCGAAGCCTAGGCGGACAGCGCGCAGGTCGCCTCGCCTGGTCGCCAACATCAGGACATCACGCTGGGAGTCGTCGAACTCCAGGGGGGGTCGGGCCCCGGTCTCAGCGCGCAGTCGCGCGCGGCCTTGGGGGCAGCTCGAGGGGCCGCCCTCGCCATGGGCCGCCTCCGCCTCGGCGAAACCTCTGCCTTCCGCCCCGTGGCCTCGACGCCCCCCCCCCCCCGCGCAATCTCCCGGGCGGGGGTCGGCGCGCCCCGAGAAGGAGGGGGGCGCGCCCGAGACAGCGCTGCCAGGAAAGCCGCTGATCGCGGCAAACGCGGGCAAAGACATGCCAGCCCTGACATTGCAGCCTTGGGCGGGGCGGCTGGGGCGCCGCTGCCGGGGGCACTGGCCCGCGCGCCCCCCGGAGACAAGCGTCTCCTCTCGTGGCGGGCCCGCGTCGCGGCGACGAGGCCCTGGCCACTGGCGTAGCGACTTCGGTTTAGCAAAGTAGAGTACCTTATCATACTTATAGATGTAGTTGTCCCAGATGCAAATGTACTTACCGAAGCCGCAACTGCACTTACACGGCGCCCGTAACCATTCTTATACAGCAAGTTATAACCGACATCTAACCATCTTATAACTTTCATAACTTCTGTAGTCGTCGCAGATGCAAATGTACTTACCGAAGCCGCAACTGCACTTACACGGTGCCCGTAACCATACTTATACAACAAGTTATAACCGACATCTAACCATCTTACAACTTTCATAACTTCTGCAATTTCCATGCCCCCCCCCTTCCCTCCCCCCCCTGCGGTTCGGTAGTTAGCCAGTAGGACGGCGAGAAGAAAGGAGGGGGGAAGGGCGATGACAGCGATGCATTCGCTAACGCATTCCTGGGTATGAGCGATCAATTCGCTATGTGGTTCTCTGAGCGATCAATTCGCTGTGCAATTATCTGAGCGATCAATTCGCTATAAGCGATGAATTCGCTATGAGGCCCTTGCCCATGCCGCCCTCACTGCGCCATCATTCGAAGCCGCTTGCATGCGCAAGCCCGCGCGTTTTTTTTGCCGTAGATATGGCTGCCCAGCGCTTGCGCGACCAAGTCGAGGCCGTCGGGCGATTGCTCGAGGCAGTGCAAGGGCAGCCCTGTTTCGATACGGTGGCGGCCACGCAGGAAAGGATGCTCGCGCAGGCTTTCGGGAGCGCGAGGCTGCAGCCCACGCAGGTGACAACCCTCTCGTCTCTCGTCGCAGCGCAACCCTGGTCCGAGGTTTCCAAGGGGAGGCTGTTGGAGAAGCTCGGCAGCATCGTGGCTTCTGGCAGCGCCGTGGGCTTGCGAATGGCTCAGCAGGATTACGAGTGCATCTTTGGGTACCTGACAGCGGGCTCGCGGCACCAGTTGGCGCTGGCCGACGTGCCCGAGGAAGCGAAGCTCAACGTGCTGGTTGAGGTTGCGATTAGCTTGGGGCTTCGCAACCCGACCGAAGGCACGCATCAGATGTTGACGGCGATGTGGCGCATGGCCGTGGACGGAGCCGAGGCCGCGAAGAATTTGGCGTGGGCTGCAAAGTACTCGTACCTCCAGCAGACCAAGCGCGTGTTCAAGCGCCAGGCTGCGGCTGAAATTGCGGCCCTCGTCGTCGACCACGCCTCCCCCAGCTGTTCCAATTCTCCTCCCCCCTCCCCTGGCCGCAATTTCACCCACGAAGGTTTCGAGGCTTCCTGCGCCCCCCGTTCGGCTGATCGAGCTGCCTACGTCCCCCTCGACGTTCTGCGAGAACCACCCTGACTTCTTCAAGCAAGTGTATGGCGACGAGTTGCCAGCGGCATGCCCCGCGCCAGGAGCCGCGACTCGCTCCGTCCAGGCTACGTACCCGTGCCGCAACACAAAGCAACAGGCCACGGGTGCGCAGATGATGAGCGCCTCGGCGTCGCAGCCCGACGTTTTGCAGATGATGCAGCTCGCGTTCGACAACTTGCGGCGGGCGGACGTCGGCGCTCAGACGGGCCCTTTGAACCTCGAGATCCTGGGGGGGCGGCGCGAAACGCGCCGCGGCCTCGGCGTTCGCAGCCGTGGAGGACGCTGCCCCGAGTTCTCTTCCATCTTCCGCCTCAGAAGGGGCACCGTCGCCAGCAGCGCCAACGCCGCCGTCGCCAGCGACGCCTGCAGCAGCCGGCGTCGCCAAAGGGAACAAGACTCCCCCCGAGAAGGAGGATGTCGCCTCGGTCACCGAGGACATCCTGCACGGACTCGTGACCAAGGAGAAGGGGGAGGGCCCGAAGCCGAAGGCAAAGGGGAAGGCAAAGGGGAAGGCGAAAGCAAGGGCGACGAAGGCTGGGGCTAAGACGACGGGCAAAAGCCACGGGAAGGGCGTCACCGTGTCACCCCTGTTCAAGCCCATCAAAAAGCTCGGGTGTTCGAAGTGTCGTTACGCCAAAACGGGGTGCTCGAGTTGCAAAGAGCGGCTCAGGATTTCGAAGCTGCTGGGTAAGTAGCTCATAATGTGTGTAGGTTTCCTGAGGCGCTCTCGGCCGCGCTGGGTCCGCCACGCACTTTGCTCATAGTCATGCTACGGTGTTTCGGACAGAGCGCCCAATGCATTTCGCTACCGCGCTTCTGTATATGGGGCCCTGGAGAGCGCATCCTAGCGTTTGGGTAAGCCGCGCGAGCGCCCCAGGGAACCCTGCCGCTCACTTTTACTCTTGTGAGGGCGTGCCTTACCGTTGCCTGCGATGACAAAAAAAACAGCGATCCACTCGCTAAGCGATTCATTCGCTTGGGGATAGACAGGGTGGGAGGGGTGAGAGGGGAGAGTGATGGACCGCTGACTTGGAGAGGGGTAGGAGGGGTGAGAGGGGTGAGAGGGGTGAGAGGGGAGAGGGAAGAGAGGAGGGTGAGAGGGGAGAGTTATGGATGAGGCCTCGACCTCTCAAGCCAACCCCCAACCCTGCGTCAGCGATGCATTCGCTTTCCTCCGACCTCCCATCGAAGCAGCGCTCCCTTCACCTCAACCCGGTGTCAGCGATGCATTCGCTTGCTCGCGGAGCGCCCCTGCGACCGCGCCTTCGCATTGCCATTTCGGCTCAAGGCCTCGGCGGCCGCGCCGCGCCAGCGAAAATGGCCGACGACGCGGAGAGTTCACTGCAATCGTTGTGTCTTTGGGCAACCCCTTTGCGCAGTTCCAGGATGGGGCGCAGGAGGCGGGTGAAAGCAAGGAGAGCGGGGGCGCTGGCGACGAATCGTGCATGAGTCCTATCTCAGACTCAGAGTCCGAGGGGCGGAGCGCCGCCGACAAAGGCAAAGGCTGCAAGGGCGGGTGGCGCGCCAGCGGCAAGGGCGAGCCCGACAGCGGCGGCGAAGCGGAGGACCCTTGGGAGGCGCAAGCAAGCGAGGATTACCGCCTTGTGGAACTTCCCGCAGGCTACCAGGGACGAAGCGGACATGGCAAGGCAGTTCGGCGTGCCATGGGCCACGCGCGGCCCGCCTCCTCCAAGCGAGGGGGGGGGGGGGGGGGGAGGGGGCGACGACGTGGCGCGGCGACGACAGATGGTCAGAAGGCGAGCGGCGTTGGAAGAAACGCGGTGGCTCATCCAGGGAGCTCTTCGAGGAGAAGTACGGCTACGGCGGCCGGGGCTGGCAAGCAGGCCACGCGCCGAAGCGGCCTTCGGACTGCAAGGGCAAGGGCGGCGGCAAGGGCGCCTCCTCCAAGAGCGGCAAAGGTCAGGAGCAGAGCAAGGGCGGCGCCTTCTCCGAGCGCAGCAAGGGCGGCAAGGACGGCAAGGGCAGCAAGGGCCAGCGCCCCCGAGGGCACGCGGGCGCCGCGGGCGCAGGCCGCCTGGAACCCTGATGACCTCGAGGACCTCTGAGACAAAAAACCAGCGATTGACTCGCTATGCAGTTCACAAGCGATTGAATCGCTATGCAGGTCACCTCTCTCGTCTATTTATCCTTGCCCCTCTCTCTTCTATGTCTCTTTGTCCCTTGTGCGCATAGAGAGCACAGAATGTATTGTTGATAGAAGAGCCCGCGATTGATTCAACATATAAAAACGCAAGGCAAGAGTGGACCTTGATTCAGAACAGATCCCACGGGGAGTTCTGTGAGCTGAAAGATTCACTGACGCAAAAAAAGGGTCTCAATTTTTGGGCGGGCCCTTCGTGGGAATTCACTGACGAAAAAAAGGGTCCCAGATTTGGCGGGCCCTTCGTGGGAATTTACTGGCGCAAAAAAAAAGGTCCCAGATTTGGCGGGCCCCTCGTGGGAAGTTACTGACGCAAAAAAAGGGTCCCAGAGTTGGCTGGCCCTTCTTGGGAATTTACTGGCGCAAAAAAGTGCCCCAGATTCGGCGGGCCGTTCCCCCCCCCCCCTCGGTCGCCTCGGCTTGCTCGACCTCCTCGCTCAGCCCCCTTCGATGCGTCGGCATCCTTACGCCCCTGCCCGTTGCATTTCCTCTCAGCGATTGCATTCGCTCCATGGGGCGGGCCGCGCGAGTTGTCATCTGCATTCGTCTGGGCTCAGACTATTCAGAGCGGTTTTCTTTCTTAGCGGCCAAGGGCCAAGGCGCGCTCGGCGGGCGGCGATGGATGGACCGTCGGAGGCCGCGGGCTCTAGCGGCACGGAATGGCTGTGGCGCGGCTTTTGCCCTCGCGGCGATTGCGCGAAAGGTGGTTCTGGCCTCTTCCAGGACCCTGACAGGGAGGTCGCGAAGGAAAAGGTGGCGAACCACTTGTGGTCTTCTCCCTACCACAACGTCGACAACACCCTCGAGTCGGAGGCGGCGTTGCAGGAGGCAGATAATGACGCGTACATTGTCTACGAGCTGGGCGCGCAGAAGAGCAAGAAGCGCACGCCACCCGTGGAACCGCCGCAAGGGCGGGCCGTTCAACAGCGGTCTTCAGGACCAGTCGGCCAGTACAAGTCGAAGACAGTGGTGACGCGAGACATCACGGCGCGCAAGGGCGAGCTGCAGCAGGTCATGGATTGCCTTGACAGGTCTCCGACGGCGACGGAACACGCCGCGACCATCGCACGCAGTGCAGCGAAGGCGTTCGAGGACAGC